AAAGGATACATGCCCCCACCCCCCTGGCCCCTTTCCCCGGACGAAGAAGAAGGTCGCATATGGTGCCCCCCTCTAACCCCGAAAGTTTCGCCGTTCGTAGGAGGTGGCTATCTTGCCTATCGCCCTCCTCCCTTTACCGCACCCCTGGACTCTCTGACCTTTTATCTTATCTCACGGCCGATAGATAAGCACCGACGATAAAGTTGCCGGACGAAATGAAGGCACGGCGTGCGGATGCAGTCGCCATTCCTTAATTAAGTCCCGACGACCGTTTGTTCGGTTTATTGGCTTGTTTGCCCGCGTACTTTCTCTCCAGCGACGAGGATGCTGCCCCCAGGGGAGAACACACTTCGTCGCTCGAGCGTTTCGCCGTTCACGAAATTGTTTCTTCTATCGGGCTTCTTAGCCTTCTTCCTTCCCTCACCTCCTCGCCCATCCTATCCATGGTAATGAATGGCGATGAATTTCTTTTTGCGGGTTTTAAAATTGCTGCTACGCCATCAATTTGGTTTTCAATCTTGTCAACTCGATGGCATTATCACGATCCGTCTGGAATATCCTGTTCTGGAATGGAAGGCGGCGTCCGGAAACTTGAGCAAGGTTGCAATTGAGGATATTCTTAATTTCAAAAACGTTGGGCACCATCGGAATGTATATTTATCTTAACGAATCACCATATTTGAATCCGTCGTCTATTATTCGAATATTATTCGAATTTGTCTCTGGTTCGGGAAGGCCTTGTCGCTCGAGAAATATTCCACTATAGCGGGGGAGGGAGGTGCCGGCTGCTCGCAGGCATAACTAGCAGTTATGCGCATTACGACGGAAAGTCATGTCGCTCACGTCGAACGCCCGAGATAAACAAGTCGCGGTGTGGTGTGGGGAGAGTTCGAAGTATCGAGACACCGAAGGTGACCTTAGCTCATTTCTACACCTTTCCAATTCTATGCCGATTTCGATTACATAATTAGAATGTAATTTCAGAATTCTGGCGAGGAATGACGTAATGTGTAACAGTATTTTCTTCAACAAGGATTACATTCCAAATTTGAAAAGTTACTGCGCTTTTTTACGTCTGACCACCGATTACTAATGGGGGAGGGATAAAAACGGTGTAGAACGAGAGAAGGGCATAGGCGACCGGTAAAAGAGATACGAGACAGAGAGCAGCCACGATGAAGCACGAAGGAGGGGTTGGAGCAGAGAAGAAGACCCCATTACGTATTCCTCCGGCATCCCTCTTGATCTCCCCGCATTTTTATTGCACTTGCCGCCAGTAAGAATATGTTTTATTTATATTTCATATTTCTCTCCGCCGCCGCTGCTGCTGCTCGGTTTCGTGACCACGAGAAAGCTTGATTCCCCGGATTCGCACAGGGTGACCACGGGATACCGCGTGATCGGTGAGGGGGATCTCCGTTCCTCTATTTATTTTTTTCCTTCCCGTCTGCCGCGTGCCCCGTAATTTCGTCACCCCTATTTTTCGAACTCCCCCTTTCTCGAATCAAAGATATTTTCGGGGATTCCGTCGAATTTCACAGAGATAAGAAGACGCGACTGTGTCATACAGGCCTTACGTATACCTCGCGCTCGAGTACACTGCCATTTTGTTTCCTCGCGTTCGAAGTGAACATAAAAATAATTCCTTAGAACCTAACTATATGTTCTATTTATAGAAACAAAGCTCGTTTCGATCAGGTTTCTAGTATCGTCGTAAAAAATTCCTGAAGGTACTCCTTTTTGTGACCCAACTCCTTAATCGATGCTATGAGTTCCCTCATTTGCGGCGAATGTTTTGTCACGTGATTCGAGTGGAATATATTTTTCTAGACGGAATAACAGTCCTCCGCGGAAAAAGAGTTAAATCTCGTCGAAACGTCGCGCAGCCAGCGGCGCGTAAAGCCCGTCCGGTGCTTTGTGACTCTCGCGAGGGGTGTTACACGCAATTTGCCCGCACTTTCCAGTAATGACTCCGTGGGACCCTTCGACATATTTTATGGGCATCGTGTTGGGTGTGCATAACTTACAGTCCAGTGGTTGAACTCACGGACAACGCGATCTCTCGAGTGTGAAACGACGAGACGCTGGAAAGCGAATCGCAATCGTAAAACTGTGACACATTGTAGTTATTTTACAGCCGCATTAAATACAAGAAATACATGCAACGAATTCCAGTTTTAACTTGTGAGTTTATGGAATCGCAAAGTTAACTGTTTGAAGTTTCGCGCTTTTTTCTGCCAGCGCTATATTCCTCTTGTTGCCATGCGGATTGACTCGTCCAATAGGAAGAGACGTATCGTTTAACAGGTTCTTCTCATCTTTGGAAATTCTCCCTGTAGCTCCAAAATGATATATTAATATTAACTTCGTCAAAATGTGCTTTCCAACCCTCTGGAAACAGTGTATACTTTACTTTTTTTTCGTTCTCTATAATTATGTAACCTTTTAAGCGGAACAAACACCAGTAGAATCGATGAACCAATTGACCGATGACAGACAGATTGACCAACCTGTGCACTTTGCATTTCACACGAATTTCCAATTTGTCACGGTGTTTCTTCGACCATCTCGCCTCCAGCACTCGACGCGAAAGCGATTAAATAACACCAGCGGTCATAATAACAATAACGACGATTGACACTTCAATAAATTACCACCCGTGCACCGCTCACGGCGTCCAATTAATCAGCCGAAATGCGGCCAGGGTGGGGGCTATCGCGTGACGTCATCAAATGATTTAAGTCAATCTCTCCCTCGAGGGAGTTTCGTGCCGAATCGTACACTTTTTTGTGTAACATTTCTCGTTTCATGTTTCGGAAACTAATCCCAAAAATGAAAATGATACAAATAATCATAGTGTAGATACATGCTTTGAAAAGCAATAGCAGTAGCAAAATAACGGTGATTTTAATTAACATAAAACATCAGCAGTGAACTTCGCGTTAAATATAGTTCACAACTGCTTCTATTTGAGTATTTCCGCGCGCCAAACAGATGGCACCACTAGTTTGAACAAGACGTCTCTCAGAATCAAGACAACCCTAAGACTTCCTTTTCTATCTTCAACAAAATGATGCTGCTTCGTGGGAATCACTCGTCTTGCATAACGTCAAATATAATCGAGTTTACCTCGACTACATCGCTACGTACCCCTAATCAAGATCTCATAACAATCCCAAAATGTTTTCTCCTCTTCCACGACGCGATGCCACACCGTGAGAATCGGCTACCATAATCGCAACCTTCGTAAAAATGAATCGACGGGCAAGGGTGAGCCATTGGTAGGAGTATTCCTGCCGTGGCAGCGTGTTATCATTAAGATATACATCATAACCGTGTGAAAACGCGAGGATTCCTCGTCAGGATCGTTCGGCGGTGGTACGTGAGCTGAAAATGCTCACCGAGCTGAGTAATTTCATCGCGTATACGTGACGCGGCTCCTCGGACGTCCTACGCTCCTGGCGATGAGGAGGACGCAAGGCGTGTACTCGCTGGACCCGCGCGCACACACGCGCTGGCAGACTGTACGTGTGCGTGGGAATTTCGGATAATTTGATAAGGATTCATGTCAGTGCGAGATGCTCCATGGGGCACCGAGTGAAATTCCTTATTCCAGACGCACGCGCGCCGGGATGGCTTTTAAATTCCGTTGGGCCCCTTTGATGGGGGCCGCTTTCGAAACTCCGGCACAACAGCCACGTAAATCAGAAGTTTGATACGTTGGACCGACCAGGAACCATAAATCACGGGGCAAAAATTATATTCCATCGAGGAAACGTGTCTTCTCTATGAAGGTCACCGGTACAACTTCGGTATTAAGTCCAGCGAACTCGACCGTTCCACCTGTCCGATTCTGTTCGTCTGAAAAATTATGGTTCTGCACAGGGATCTGTTAGGAATATGATTCTCGAAAAATGATCACTGAATCTCGGTTTGACACGATGACGTTCGACGTCTTGGACGGTTAATAATTGCAAAAAAATATTGTGTAAATAACGTTTACGTTAGAGTTCCAAAGGGGTAGTTTGAAATTCGCGCCCCTTCTCATGACACGATTTTGTGATTCGTAACCCCGGGTCCACACTGCGGCGAACACGAACAATAAAATAGCCTAAAAACGTTCACAAAGGTGTTCCTACTGTCGCTAACATCTACGATGTTCGTACTCCAGCGAGACATGTTATTTTGTCAATTCGGGCGATCCACATCCACTCCATGGTTGGAAATGCTCGAAAGCAAACGACAGTTTACGACCACCCGCTGGCAGATACTCCAAAGGGATAATATACGTGACCGTAGTTAATATTAGTTCTTTAATATTCATCCAAGTTTTTATGCTTTTTTTGTTGTATCTTGATGAAAATATATGCAATATATTGGCGAGATTTTTCTGATAAAAATAATATCAAACACGACGCAATTCAGACAATTTTGAGTTTCGCTTATGATAAGTAATATGTATTTTTATAATATTAACACTTGTTTATACTACCCAGTGACAAAGGAGGTTAAGAAATGGCCATTTTTGACATCGCCTGGAAATGAAAAATTCATGCAGAATCTTTTAGAGTGTCTCCAAAAGAACAAAAAATGTCGGTATAAAAATATTGCATCTCGTAAACGAAACTTAAAGTTGTCTGAATTGCATCGTGTTTTGTGCCAATTTTATCAGGAAAATCTCGCCAGTATATTGCATATACTTTCATCAAGATACAACAAAAAATATACAAACTTGGATGAGTAATAAGAAAATAATGTTAACTTCGGTCACTATCTAAACTATCAAGCATTATCTTTGCACTGAGTGCAGAAAATAATGTTGTCAACACCGCTGTTAATGACAATCGAAAGGTTATGGGCACGCATTTGCAAAAAAAAGGGGAAAAATACATCTAGTTTCTGTCGTTTACATAATGATACGAAAAGAAACAAGCTTGCCTTAGTATTAAAAATAATTTTCGATTAATATTTACTTACATAATATTTACTGACATACCTGAACAATCCTTTTCTATTCTGCCTGTAAACATTTCCCACGAGTGTACTTTCCGTTCGTGCCAAGATCGGTAGCGAAGCTGTTATAATCCCGTTCTTGTCACAGCAATAACAGTTCTTCCTTCTATTCACGTTACTATTTACTTCAAACTTAATTTACACACGTTCTTCTTGCTACAGACAATCTAATTTAGATAACAAAGTTGTATTACAAATGCGACGAACACAGTCTGCGAAACGTAACCTGCTTGGACGCCACCTTCACATTAATGAACTTCACGCACGTGGCGTTGCAGTCACGTGGTCAAACAGAGAGTTGCGAGAAATAATAGAATTAAAACATACTTATTAGTAGATTTCTATTGTTGTTTGTTGCTCCTGTTTCTCAATCTGAATAATTTTGAGCTACAGTAACGTTAAAAAGAATATTTAAAGTAATTGAAAAGTCCTTACGGTGTTATTTATCGATGACAGAAAAAGCGGGAAACGTGTGTGCTATTACCGGGTATCTGTCACCTGTTTTATAGCTGTTTAATCGTTGCTAATTGATGCTCGTAATTTGTGTAATTACTGCGGTTATTGCATTTGTTATTTACACAGTGATTAAAATCAAGATTGAAGAGCGGTTTGAGGAATGCAGGTATGTTGATTCTACACGTGACAGCGTATGAGGTTATGTCAGATTGTAGCTGACTTTGCACATGATGTTTTAATGTTTAACTTGCATGACGCTCCACGAATTTTCAATGAGAGCTTTTTAAAGTAAACTCACGGCAATGTACACACATATTTCTGTTAATAGAATGAGCAGATTGAGCCTAAAAAAGCATGACATGTCGAGTGAGGGCTCTCCGTGTAAAAATAAGTCAGTGCCCAGTTCAGAGGTCATTGTTGAAATATCATCTGATGAGAGCACTAGTCAAAATATTTGCGACAGTGATTTGTCAGATCAAGAATCAGTTATGAATGAAGTTTACAACAATGAGACTTTACATAAGTTTCAAAAGTCTACTGATAGTGTATCATCCGATGAAGATGTAGTCGATACGGTATTTCCATCTACTTCAAGAGGGCAAACACAAACTTCAATGTTTGGATGGCCTAAAAAAAATATAAATATGGAAAAGGGCACTACAATGGAACACAAAGTGTGGGACTCCTCTGATGACGAATCAAACATATTTGTTCCTACTATGAAAAATAATACTTCAAAGAAAATTGATTTGATCACAGATGATGATTCTAATTCTTCGTCTCATTGTAAACAAAAAAAAAAATTTAAGGGGTTCAAAAGTGCTGAGCCATCAAATACAACCGAACTTAAGGAAGATATTTTGCCTGATGTAAATCATGAGATAATGATATCTGGAATCAAAGTAAAACTTCCTGTGAAACCTTATTCGTCTCAGGTTGCTGTAATGAATAAGGTAAGAAATTATTTTAATTCCTGTCGCTGAATTGTAAAAGTAACAGCAATATCCTTTATTGATATGCTATTTTAATATTTCCAGCTCATACAGGGTTGTGTAAAGAAAGAAAATTGCCTACTGGAGAGTCCAACAGGAAGTGGAAAGACGCTGGCTCTTCTTTGCGGTGTTCTAGCATGGCACGATCATCATATTGGTGAGTCAATAATATTTTCATGTTATTAAAATGGTGTATCAATTTAAAGCATATATACTTCATTAACATCATGATTGGAGATAATCGTATTTAAGCATTACTCAGTGTAGAAAAATATATATTTACATAAATTAATTACAAGACTGGTATCACCTTGGTAAAACTTTAACTATGCTTAAAAATATTTTATTGAAAATAATTCGAGCTGCATGGAGCAGATTTACTATAAATTGTCGCATCTACTAAGGAGATTATTTATCATTGTGGTGCCTCCTGTTAAGTTCCATCTATGATCACGTGACAGTCAACCGTTACGCGGAATTGCGAGTGGTTGGCAGCCGTCACTTCCCATCCGCGAAATTTTCGTCCGTCTCGCGAATTTTCCAAATTAGTTGCGAGCCCCCCGACCCAGCGACGGCTTTATTAAATTCCCGTCGAGTTCTTCGACGTCCTCCCGTCAGAACTTTAAAAAGTCTGCCAGACAATTTCTTAACGTGTCACGGCGACGTCCGCCGCGGTAAGATGCAAAACGATCGCGTCGAGTAATTCTTGCGTCTAAATTGGCCGCTGCCTCCTCCTCGCGGAAACTTCCAACGCGTTCAGAAACTTTCCTCGAACTTACTTTTCTCGCTGTGGTCCGCGTCCCCGCGAATGCGACGGAAATTCTTTAAAATTTTATAAACACTACCACGAAATCAGAAAAACTTAAAAAGCCCATGTAATGTTACAGCGTAACAGTATCGAGCTTTATTAATTTGGATAGAATGGATAGAAGCTATAAGACTCGAAGTCTAATTTTCCTTGATCAATCCTGTCTCTGTCTAGGTGAAACGCATCAAACGTATAATCAAGAACTTTCATTCGCGGACAAGGATATTAAAGAAGTTCCCTGTTGTCCTCCAGGTGAACCGGCTATTAGGCATTCTCAACCGTCATATTAATTTAAATTATTCAACCGTTCGCCATTTCCCTCGCGCTGGTTTCGTGTTCGTCGGCGTGCATGTCGCTAATTGCCGTCGATTCGCGCGCAATTTCTAAACAATTAGATTTCGAAGTTCGCGTCGCGATGCTCGTTCGTGGCGGTACCAGGTCGCGGATGGCGACGCGGACGTCGAGGGGGGTACGATAAGTCTTTTTGGCGAAACGCTCGACGGAAACGTAATTTCGCGGTATGGCTGCCTCGATAGCGGGTACCCGGTTATTATTTCGCATTTGCATAATACTTTCGCCTCCTTTGTCGCAGTGGTTGCGCAACGGGAATGATAATTCTTCGGGTCTGCACGCCGCGGCCCGGAAGCTCTCTGGCGGAACTTTAGTTGCGTGTTCCGCGTTACGTGGTCGCGCGAAAGATGGCGACACTGTCTTTCGCTTTTCCCGCCACCTTTCACGGTTTTATTTTAATTATGAGGAGTCAATGAGGAGTTAGTCTACACTTCATTATATCTTATTACAGATAAGAGTGTACCGTCACTGTTGAGTTTCTCGTTAAAACTGAATCTACCGACATTTCATTTGCACCTATTTCTTAAAGACACCCGTTTTAATTGAATACAAAAATATTCCACTGTATACTAAAGTTTAGTGACATTTCGTTTCATTTGCACCTATTTCTTAAAGGCACCTGTTTTAATTGAATACAAAAATATTTCACTGTATACTAAAGTTTAGTGTTAGTAATTTTTCTATTTTATATGTTAAACTGCTCAGGTAGGGATGGAAAGTTTTATACTCATCCTTTAGTGTTTATCAAGGAGATATATTTTTTTGGAGGAAGCGTACTGTTAAGGACAACCTACGTATGTGACGCTTTATTTCCACAAAGTGTACTTTATGCCTGCGTTATTCTTGCAGAAAATCGCCGTAGTCTATGGACAATGGGGTAGTTTCTTATCGAGCACGAGTCTCGTTCCATTGTCTCCGAAAATTTTTTTTGAGAGTGCCAATGTTAGTCTCGATGATTCAAAGAATATCACCGCATCCAATCTTAATATTCGATCTTCTAACGGAAATTTCGACCTTTTATTCGAAATTTACATTTACACAAGAATTTTATTCTTCTGGAAAACGCGAAGCGTCGATTGTCGTTGCGGAATCACGGACGAATCCCTCTCCTGCTACCTCCCCCGTCTCCTTTTTCGTTCTCCCGTGTCCTCAACGATCTGGAATTATCGGGGAAACCCTTTTCCGCTAGGGCGATCGAGCCTGTCCCTCCCCCACCTTCGTCGAGGAAGGAAATCCTGGTATTAATTGGTAGCTTTCCGACGACAGCGTGTATCATTGCTGGCCACAGTTCTCGTGGCTCAACTGACGGTCCGTGAGGGCGAAAGTAATGGCATTTGCATGGAATACACTAATTCCCGCTTTCATGTTACGAAACCGGATCCGCTGATCCATCTCAGAGCGACTTTTATTAACAATATTTTTCTAGAAAAAGAATGGAAACGAAGAAGATAAATAAAAGGATCGGAGTTACGTATAGAAAAGTTTCAGAGAGAGGCATAATCGCGGCCTAGTTTGATTCCGTCGCTCGTGTCGCACGACACTCGATACGCTTTGTAGTACGCATTCGTAATTAGGCGAACGGGGGCCTCGATTAGCATTAGTCATGACAACGAAACGGCTCGAGCACGATATCCTTCTGTTTTCCCCAGTTATAATTCGCTTTTTATACTTTAAACCTGGCACTGTCACGCTCCGCTAGTCGAGTGGTACTGCTAGCCACCGAAACTGTAAACTTCGTGCTCGAGAGTGGAATATATCGAGTCCTCGGGAAACCAAATAAAAAAATGTCGCGCATCGATCGAGAAACTCCCAGTGACCAACGGCGCTGACTTGCCTACCCTCCGATGTCTCAATCGGATGGCCGTTTGTCGGTGTAAACAGTGCCTGGAAGACCGCGAGTCGCGCGGAAAGTGGAACTGCAATTCAACTTTTGATAGATTGTTAAGACTTCGTGACAATTATGTTTGACTTGGTACTTTGGCAGACCTCAATAACTCGTTTCCCGCAATTACCCTAGAATTCGCAGAAGTGAAACGTAGGGGAGGAGCGTTACTCTGAAGCACCTTGGAAATGCAATCAAACTTTTGCGCGATTCGTCGGGCTGAGGGTAGGACAATGCGACGATTAGGGTGGGCACGATCCTCGACGGGAAAGTAGGTGGTTTGAAAACAATTTGCTTTGTTAGCTACCACTGTTCGGCAATTAACTTGGGTATTTTCGTGGAATGGTGCATGATCGAGTAGCGAGTGTGGTTCCAAGGAGTATCGATAGAAGTGAATTCTGGTAAGAAGATCCAAGCAGGAGTGAATGAGATTCGTTAGTTGGATATTCTCTCACCGATGGAGCCACGCACAACAGCATCAGGGGATCCATCATGTATCCTTGAAACCGAGTAATCATCAAGGACCACCCTAAACTACATGAAACACTCGAATACCATCGCCATGTTCCTTCACCTGACTAGCCAAACCAGAAGAGGACCTCTCTACTTTATTCTATTCACCGAGAAAAATATTATAAGTTTTCGTTAAACTCTAGTTGGAAGTCTTCTCACCGATGGAATCACAGCATCAGAAGATCCCACCTCATTCGTTCCCGAAACCGAGCAATCACCGAAGACCTCCCTTAACTACGTGGGACGCTTGAACCTCGCGGGTACACGCGAGAAGCACCGCCGCCATCGAGTTCGAAGAGTAATAGCGAGCTCGGAGCCCCGTGTGTGTCGGTTTTCCAGTTGGCGATGATTTACGATCGCCTCGGGGATCGAGCCGCGCATTAATCAGCGATCGCTAAAAACCCTGGGACGTGTCCTGCGCAAGTACCGTGGAATCCGCAGAACGGAATCGTTCGTAGAAAAGGCGGAGCGTGATGCGTCGCGAGCGGCGTAGACAACGGAGTCGGTGGGACGATCAAGAGGGGGTCTGGGGAATATAAATTTCGAAAGTTTATCGCGGAATCGCATGCCGGCTAATGTCACTTTATTACAGCGGCGGATAGACGACGTCGACGTTGGGAGACAGTGGTTCGCCCCGAACCGAGTTCGAAATAACCGGCGGTCTGAGGAGGCCCGTTGCACGGCCGGGAAACTTGGCAACTCGGTAATAATTATCGGTGAACTACAAGGCGGAATCGTATCTGTATACGTACCGAATCGTCGTCCTCGTCGTCGCCGTTAATCGTCTTTTATGCCTCAGCATGCGACAACTACGAGGACTGTGCAGCTCTACGTGCTACTCTGTGACGTTCTGACATTAATAATGGGCCCGGGTCCCGAGACTTCCGCGCCACGGAGGTACCAATCCCGGTACCATCGTCGAAAATTGTTCCGTTGAAGCACAATAGCCAAGCGAAAGGGCTAGGTCGAATTCAACTACATTCGACGTTCTAGGGTATTCCCACCACTCCGAATCACGTGGGACGCGCCTTCCACTGTTGTCCTAGAACGTGGACACGAGGTTTTAATGTAAAAGATGCAGCAATTTTATACCTACCATTTAAAACTGATCCTAGAAGAATTCCAGTAGATTTCCCTGATATTCGCGAAGGGACTAGGTCGAGTCCATCTGTATTGGCCGCTCAAGACTACTTCCCCCACTCTTACTTGCGTTATTCACTACTTTTACCTTCGTACAATGTTATCCCGTATTTACAAACATCACTATGCACAAGTTTGTGCGAAGTACAATAGATTTCCCTGATATTCGTGAAGAAACTAGGTCGAGTCCACCTTTATTGGCCGGTCAAGACGATTTCCCCCAGTCTTACTTGGGTTGTGCACTACTTCTACCTTCGTACAGTGTTATCCCGAACGTCTAAACATCACTATACAAAAGTTTGTGCGAATTCGTGACAGATGACGTCGTTGTATGGGGGTGAGGATAGTTTCACAATGGCCTTGAGCAACCATTTGATCTCGGCCCAACCTTGTCAGTCATTCCTGGACGTTTGCATTAAAATTTTTATACAGAACAATGGTACGTTAATGCTTGAAAATTCTG